CTCCCAAGCGGCGCACTGCTACAGTGCGCCGCTTGGGAGTGCGGTGGCGCTCCTGCCGAGGGTTCGGATCCCACATACAGACCGGCCGCTCACTGGCTGAGCGAGGAGCAGGGACAACACCGAGGGTTGCGATCCCGTTGCCGGTCCCGGTCCGGTATGGGCGCGACACTGAGGGTTGCGATCCATTGCCGGTCACGAAAAAAGACAAAAAGACAAAAAAAAAAAAAATCAAAACTGTTATAGCAGTTTCCTCTCTTAGTGACCACCCCTCTCCCCTCCTCCCTTCCCATCCTCATCTCCCCACATCCCTTGTGGAACCTAATCCTGGTGGCTCTATCTTGGACCTCATCTGATGAGTCATGAACTGAAGGGCCTAGGATCACATTAAGGGGGTTCCACAGAACCAGAGAGCACCAGTGTTTGACAAACTGGTATCCAATTGGCAGTTTGGGCCCACATTTACCAAATGTTTACGAAAAAATGCCAAGTTCTCCTGAATGAGGCAATGACAAGCTGATAGCAATGAACTTGGAAAAGATCTTTCTTTTTTGGTGACAAAAGAAAAAAAAAGGCAAGATAAAGTTCAAGTTGGGAAAGGTAAGAGAAAAAGCAATCCAGACTCTGACAATTGAACAGTGAGCTCTGAACGGTCAGTTAGGACCCAAAAGAGGAAATGCAAAGGTCAGGATGGTTTGTTCCCCAAAGAAACTGCATGTGCTGCTACAGCCAAAAAGGCTATAGGGCACTGTGAACACACAAATCAGAAAACACGGAAAGTCAGACCTGGCCCTATGCAATATCATGAAAACTAGTTCTGCAGTACCCTGAGTCTCCCTTTCTTTGGATTGTCTTTTTTTTAAAGTCACCCTGGTGCTCCTCTATTCCCTCTCCTTGTTCCTCCACTTCCAGGGCTCCAAATAATTTCCTGCCGTCCCTACTGACACCGCTCAATCCTTCTCAGACAAGGGAAATGATTGATGGGCCTCAACATGGTCCTTTTCCCATGGGGGCTTGTATTTTGTCAGAAGATGTAGCAGAAGCTCCTTAACATTTTGCCACCAGCATCCCTTTCTTGGTGTAATTGTCTATTCTCCCCTCCATGATATCCTGTCACCCAAGTCATCCTCCTCCCTCCACATCACAGTGAATACGTAGCCCAGGCTGGACTGATATTCCCTGAACACAATGCCTGTGGGCACACCACCCACACAAAGTGTTCTCATCTGGGCCTGTTTGCCCTCAGGTCCTTTCCTCTCCTGGCCCATTGTGCTCTGCATCACAGGGGGACTGAGCCCCACAGGCTCCCAGTTCAGCTTGGCTTCTGGCTGGCTGCAGCCAATGGAAGACACTGAAGGGAGGCTGCAGTGCAGGAGGAAGAGGGAGCCAGGGTTCTTTTCCTCTCTCCCTCTCTGCCTAGAGAAGGCTGCCTCACCTCGGCTCCAGTTGCCACTACTGGCCCACCCTTGTTGCAGCCCAGCCTCTGGCTCTGGAAATTCTGCTTTCTCTCTCTGGGCTAAGAGAGGTATCAGCTTTCTCCTTTTGCTAATAGCTGTGTTTCCACAGCATCCCCCATTTTGTCTCTGAGCTGTTTAAACACCAATTGTCTGCCTTAAATTCCCTCTATTTTAAATACTTAATGTGCTTTCTGCCTTCCTGAAGGAACAATAATTAGAACCAGTCATTCCATGAAATTTGAGGTGTGGATGCTGAGAGAAAAAAGGTCTCTCTTCCTGTTAGATCATAAGGCTATAGGATTGGGGATGACAGTAGCCAATTTCTAGCATCTAAACCCATTTTGAGAATGATGCCAAACATAGAAGCATATAGAGCCAGGAAATAAAATGAGAAAAATAATCCTGGCACATTCTTAGAACTCTTTGCTTTAATCAGACCTAGAGTTAGCATTGTCATATATTTTACGTCTCAAACCAGGACACTTGAAAATAAAGGGACTGCTGGCAATACTTAAGTCAGGACAACAGGCAGAAACTGGGACTGGCCCAGGCAAACTGGAACATATAGTCACCTTACCTAAAACCAACTCAGTCCTTGGACTTTACATCGATTAAGCCATTAAATTCCCTTTGACCTTTAACCTAATTTGAGTTGGATTTCTATCACTAAACTAAGAGATTGCTGACCAGTGCATGAGGTAAAGGTTTAAATCAAAGGAATTATTTCCTAGTGGTAGGATTTCAGGGTACGTAGGGGACTATCAATGTCCACCTGAATTAGTCTCCACAACTTCATGTGGAGCTAAGCTATTTCAGGAACTTTACATAGAATTTAAGTTGCTATACCCCAAGAGTGATGAAAAAGAACAAGAAAACAACTATAATTACCAAAGGAAATATATAACCCTACACTCAGGCTAAACATGGCTCTTGTGATTTTTTTTCCCCACATTTAAAGTGCCCCTTACTTAAGATTTATTTTCATCTGAATACAAATTTGGGGTCAACCACATCTTATATTTTTCCCTGGGTCTATCCTCTGTCTAGGTATAGCACTATAACATTACTAAGAACACTGGCCTTTGAGAACTGCTTTTCTTCTTTATTCTCTTCTCTTTACTTTTTTCCATTCTTCCATAAGGTCTCACTTATATTACAGATGAAATAGGCTCTTATTGGCTTGCCAAGGAATCCAACAGTCATTTACACCTACTTGTATTTCTATAAAAACACACATTATTTAGGGAGTGGTGAGAAAAGTATGCAAAGGTTACATGACATTTCTTAGGCCTCTGGTTCAGTGCACTCACAGCAGCTGCTTAGTTTATGGCAAAACACAAAACAGCAATTGAAAGACTGTATTAGTGGGAGTGCTCCCCAACCCAGTGAAGGTTATTTTTTAATTAGGAATCCATTCATAATTCAAGTGTTTGAAATCCCATCAGCAATTAGATCTTTTAAAAGCTATAAGGGGTGTTTGTGACTAACATTTTATTTTTTGAGTCTCAATGTCACTTCATCAATAAAAGGGCAAATATATCAATAACTAGAAAGAAATATCCAGAAGCTTTACTAAGCAACTAATATGTCTCAATGCCCATTTCTTGCAGAGCCAATTCCTCTGGTCATGAAACATGCTTTTTTAAAAAAAACAGAAAAAATGTCCACTTCCAGAGGTTAAATTGGTGCCAAATTTTTCTTTGGAAGTAGAAGCAAGCACTTACAACTTAAAATATTAAGAGATCAAAAGCATGATACATACAAGCAACTCCCTACCCTGTTCATCAGGAGTCATTTTGTTCTGGAAGGTAAATTTTTCTCCTCGTGTCCCCTTTAGTAAATTGTAAAAGAATTTGTTGTAGGTTCTACATTTTTGTCAAAATGTGTTGCACAGACTTAGTGAATAAAAGGTGCAATCGTCATCTTGAATGCTGTGTGGAATTCTTTACCTCATTTGAATAAGAATCTATTGAGTAATACAAAAACTACCAAATCCATTAAACTGTATGATAATAAACAACAGGTTTTGCCTAATTTTTAACCCTGAGAGAAATATATTCAGGAAGACTTCCTGGGAGGACTGGGAAATTAATGAAGGAAACAGATAAAACTCACAGGACTTGAATAAAAAGAAGACCACAAAAGGTAACAGTTCCACTGTCTAGATGCTTGAGTTTGCTTGATCACTTTCAGATAGTGTCATTTTCTTGATTAATTATAGATGGTTCCAGTAGCCGGAAGTGTTCATGCAGGACTGGAAGTGACCTGAGCATGTTATACATCCTTATACGCAGCCTTAGAGCAGTCACTGAGGGCAGTGACTTCACTCTCCCAACAGACGACAATGACTTCAGCACTTCGGAAAATTTACTCAGGAAGATTTTTGTGCAAATAGTGTAGAGGATAAAAATTTGCACTCCCTGCAGGTAGAAAAGTTTAACATTAGCTTAGTTCTGAGATACAGCATCAAGGAAGAAATTTATTTCACCCTGCCACCCATCCTTCTCATCTTGCACAGCAACTCCCCAGTTTGAATCCTCCAGTCTGCAGCTTCCACGTACTTTTTTTTATCTGAGAGGGTCGAGGCAGTCCTTCCCATATATTAAGTGCTACATGTAAGAGTAGTAGAGTTAGAAGACCTGAGTTTGGTCCTGGCTTGCCACTTGCCAGCTGTGTAACTTTGCTCATTTCCTAATCTATATGATCTTTGATTTCCTGAAGAGGGCAGATCAACTGTGGAATACCTAATTCTTCTTCCACTTTTAACTTCCTGTGATTCCAGATTTTTTGGAGTTTTAGTAACATAACTAGAAATTTGGTGCATTTAAGCACAACAACAAAAAAATTAAAGCCCTTTTATTCATTGTTTTTCTGTACTTCACATATGAAGACCACCTGTAATGGAGGAACCAAGTCACAAAAGGCTGAGTAATGTTTTCTACATGTTTTAAAAATAAAAACTGCCCTCAATTGAAGTCATGTTAGTATCAAATACTTGTTTCCCATTTACTCCTCATTAGTTGATCCTCACATTAGCCCTATAAAATAAGTCATACTTTTTTCCATGTTACAGATAAAGAGACTAAAATTCAGACAAATTAAATTCAGACACATAAGACTACACAACCAGTCATCAGTAGAGTCTGTATTTGAACTTATATCTTTGGCCCTCAAACTCCTCTTCTGTACAATATACGACATTGTCTCTTGCTTATAACTGTAATAGAAAGATACTATAAAGCATATTAAAGCTTTTAAGGGGCTGCTGTTAATTCCTCATTAATGGTTTTGTGGATATAACAGATTAAATAGCATCAGTAGCTGAGTTAATCATATTGTAACAATGTCAATTTCTTAATTTTGATAACGTACTATGGTTATACAAGATATTATCTTTGGGGAAAGCTAGAAAAAGAATACATGGGAGTACTATTTTTCCAAATTCTTGTATTAAACAATTTCAAAATAAAAAGTTATTTAAAAAAATAAATATCCATGGATGTTATCATGTATAGGATTACAAGCCTTATAAGGACTTATTTCTAGAATCATATCCTATGAATACTGTTCTAGATGACTTCTGGTTCTACAGTAAAGTAGCCCAAAAACTCTGATTGGCTGATAAAATCAATATTTATCGGCAAAAGACGGACTAGTTCTCTGGCCAAAACCAGGACGAATAATTTGATTGTTACCCAACAAGTGGTATCTAACTCATCAAAAGAAAGGTCCCATCTCACAAAGGAGTGTACTTGGGGACATGGCTTTCAGAAGGGCAGAAGTGGTCATTGGCCATCCTGATTGTTCAAGGGAGGGGAATTTATTTTGGGCACATGAGAAATCTGGTCTCTAGGAAAGTGTCCTTTTTTGTAGGGTGCACTTTCACATGGTTTTTCCAGAATTTAAATCTTAAGGCAAAACCAAAATTAGATTGAATTTCTGATTTATAATAATTAGACAAGACCCTAGACCACAGAGTATCCATGAAGACACCATCCTGTGGGACACTGTCTAAGTGGACTCCCAATATTTCTGTGTTCCCTAAAATCCCAAAGATGTTATTTGAAAAGATGAAGGGTGTGGATCAAACTAACTGCCACTAGCACAAAGGTCAAATTGTGACTTTTAAGTAATATCTGTAGCACTTAGAAAAACGTTTATTAGAATTAAAGCATTCTAAATCTAGAAGGAGCCAGAACATACTATGTAAGTTCTGATGTATGCCATATGTTTTAGTCCGTTTTGTGTTGCTATAACAGAATACCTGAGACTGGGTAATTTATAAAGGAAAGAGGTTTATTCGGCTTACGATTCTGGGACAGCTGCATCTGGCATGGGCCTCAGGCTGCTTCTACTCATGGTGGAAAGTGGCAGGGAGCCGGCAGGTACAAGCAGATCACATGGCGAGAGGAAGCGAGCGAGAGAGCGGGGGGAGGGCAAAGGTCAAATTGTGACTTTTAAGTAATATCTGTAGCACTTAGAAAAACGTTTATTAGAATTAAAGCATTCTAAATCTAGAAGGAGCCAGAACATACTATGTAAGTTCTGATGTATGCCATATGTTTTAGTCCGTTTTGTGTTGCTATAACAGAATACCTGAGACTGGGTAATTTATAAAGGAAAGAGGTTTATTCGGCTTACGATTCTGGGACAGCTGCATCTGGCATGGGCCTCAGGCTGCTTCTACTCATGGTGGAAAGTGGCAGGGAGCCGGCAGGTACAAGCAGATCACATGGCGAGAGGAAGCGAGCGAGAGAGCAGGGGGAGGGGAGAGAGAGGAGGTGCCAGGGTCCTTTAAACAATCAGGTCTCGTGGGAACTAATAGAGCGAGAACTCACTCATTACTCCCCCCTCCCCCAGGGAGAGCATTAATCCATTCATGAGGGATCCGCCCCCATGACTCAATCAGTTTCCAACACTGCCACATTGGAGATCAAATTTCCACATGAGATCTGGAGGGGACAACACATTCAAACTCCATCACCATATCAGACCCATTTTGAGAAACACTGTGTTGATTTTAACACACATCACCACACCCCATTTTACATTTTACATACCTCACTCACAGAGGTGGTGTGACATTCCTAAAATCATCATTAATGGTGAAGTTGGAAGGCAGCCTAAGTTTCCTGACTTTTAGCCCAGTGCTCTTGCCACACTGCCACCCTCAATTTTACAATGTAGTATTAACATTTTGTAAAGAACCTCTCTTTTGTAATATGCCTCTGCAACGCATGGAGAAGGGAATATCCTGACTATGTCTTCTTTCCCATTCTTCCCTAAATTCCTAATCACTCTAGGCAACAAGCCCATGGATCAACTGGCAATCCCAGAGTAAGCTTACTTCATTTATCGCCTTCTAGGGAGTTCCCATTGGGTGTTGACAACTAAAGAACTGTCTTATATCCTTTCAAATGTAGTGGCAGGAACACATCCCCTGTCTAAGAGAGTTAGTCCTAAAAGGCACTGGAGAAGGTTACCTGGGATAGAGGATGAGGTTCTTAGAAACACTGAACATGGTAGTAGCAATTCAGACAGCCAAGCAGCTCCCAATACTGTACCGTAGAGACTTATCATCATTTGTGGTCAGGTGCATTTACCTAATGCCCTCCCCATTGATTTTCATTTTGTATCAAAGACGTCCCTCCTCAATAACATCTGACCACAGCCAGAAACAACCAACACAACATGAGCATCACACAGTGGGACAATCATCAAATACCATAGTTTCTCCACAAAATATTAAAGAAGTATAGCCCATCCTGATATTGAACAAAACCTTACCTACTGTGAAAGATGTACCTAAGCATGTTTCTCATACTCAGAGAACTGATACTCCAGTTAAGGAGATGAGACATATATGTATAAAATGGAATTGAGAGTGACTTATTATGTTGATGAAAGGTATAATGTGCCAGAAATATATAACATCTGTAAATTTCTAGGAACGTGATAATACAGCATTGAATTGCGTAAAGATAAAACACTAAACACTGGAAGTAAAATTAGTAGAAAAATAAGAATAAAAGGGTATTTTACATGCCTCTCTTAGTCTTTGATGAACAAGTTAAAGATAAATAAGGTTTTATTTAAAAAACCTTGAGATCTAAAGATATCACCTTTAAAACTATATATGTAACACATAAAAATGTTAAAGCTAATTCTAATAAATATCAAAAAATATCATTAAAGGTGATTCTAATAAATATCAAAATTGCAAATTTTCAAAAAGTTATAACAATTATGTGGATTTTAGGAATTATCCCCTTGCTTTTAGGGTTGGAGGTCAGGAGCTTTCAGAAAGGAGCTCCTTTCCTTGCCCTGTGCAGGTGGTTCAGTGATCAGACTTGTTCACACAGATGATCGTGGTATAGTGTGAATACTTTAAGAGAAGGGTACGTTCATTATACTGAAGCATAATAAATTCTGCCAGTTCAGAGAAGATGAAACTCCATACTACAAAGAGTAAAGTCCTTGTGGTATTTTTCATCAGAGTAAAAAGGAATGTTTACTATAGGAGGAGGCATAGAGTAAGAAAGTCAAAGAGAAATTCTGATTTCAAGATGCCTTTCAGTAACACATCCTTGTTTTATTTCAAAGTTTTGACATTCACTCTACATAAGACAGTCATCTGTCATTTAAGGATGGGATACGTTCTGAGAAATGCATTGTTAGGTGGTTTCATCATTGTGTGAACATCACAGAGTGTACTTACACAAACCTAGATGGTATAGCTTGCTACACACCTAGGATCTATGGTATGACCATCATAATCTTATGGGACCACTGCTGTACTCATACATGCAGTCTGTCATTGATTGAAACTTCCCTACGCAGTGCATGACTATATGTAAATACAAAGGTAAGTTGAGTCCAAACATATTTAATTTTATTTTTATCTATCATTTTGGTTTATCTGTGTCACTGTTTTTATGATGATGAATATCAGAATGTTCTTAGTCTAAATGTTCCACTTTGTAGAATAATTTCCAAAGGGAAAAATAAGAATATAAAACTTTTTTCCAGATTTTAAAATGAAGTGTACATGAAATGTTTTTTTAAAGGTTTATGGTCAAATGTGTCCTGAGATAAGACTCAAGGAATAAAAGCATCTTCAGTACTCTGTAAAATTATGCCACAAAAACAACTGCATAAAATTCTGCTACTATCAAATCAATCCTCTTGCATGTAACAACTGTAAACTCTGGATACGATATTTTTAAAAACCTACCTGAAGACATTGGAGGACAACCAAAAGCAGTCTGAAACTGGAAGGGAAGTCTACACTTGGAAAAGGGAACTAATACTGGGTAGGTTTTCTCTTACATTTTATTTTATTTTTAATATATTTTAGCCTGAAGGCAGACCCTGTTCAGCCCCACTCAGGGTATCAGGGTGACTAAACCTGGAGTTGAAA